TATTTATTCCATTGGCGGTTATTTACGATTAAAATGAAATCGAAACTCCATGTCGTACAATCACAATTCAAAGAGGAAAAAGAAAATTTTTTTCCTACACGCCAAACAAAAATAAAGATTTTTTTCTCCTACACGCCAAATTGAAAAAAAAAAAAATTTTTTTCTTTCTTTCTTAATCGACATGCGTCTACTTTGCTTAACATTACATGATTAGGTGTACATATGAATACATGAGATAATAAATGACAGAACCAACACCATTATTCGCGAGATGCTGCGGAGTATTATGGAAGATTAATTTAGGGTTTCCCCACATTGTTTATTGTTTACAGGTTTCCTTTCTGTTGACACACAAACATTAATGTATGGAATATAAATAAATTATATAATTCTCAAAAAAAAGCTGAAATTACTTGACTCATTCAAGATTCCTTTCTATTTTCTGGTGAATGGAAAAAGGGAAGGATCGACTACAAATAACCAGCCAGATTCTTTTTTTTTTTTTTTTATTTATTGTTATTATCATTCGTACGACGCAAGTAAATTATAATGTCTTTATGCATTGAAATTAGAAGGATGGCGCGTGAAAATTTATTTATCAAACATCTATTTTTCTTTTTTTTTTCATTATTGTTCTTTGAAAGATTGTGGGGCTTTGCATTAATTTGCTTATCTTTTTTTTTTTTTTTTTTTTTTTTTTTTTTCCTCAAATGAAAAACCTGTTATCTCCACTCATTATACGTACATTATTTGTTATTTATTTATTTTTTTTCTTTCTTCAATTGAAAAACCTGTTTCTCTCCAAACATTCGTTACAGATTAACTATTCTATGATAATATTCGGCATCTTACGAGTGTATAACTAAAAAAGGAGTTAAATTAAAAAGATTTGAGTTTTAATATTAAATGTTTGAATGTAAATATTTGTTGTTACTTTAGATTAAAAAAGAAAAAAATATAGATTTATCATGTGAATGAAAGAGAAATCACCTGTCCTTTGGTATTCAAATAAAGATCATCACTTAACCAATATATTCGTTTCGTTATGAAATAAATATATATGAAATTTGATTGATGTAAATTCTTTTGCCAGATTACCTTCTTGCGCTTACCGAGATTACCGAGAAAAAAAAAAAAAAAAAAAAAAACTTTTTTTCCAATAACCTGACTTTGTTTGTGGGGTAATTTTTTTTTCCACGAACCAATCAGCGTGCATTAATGCGTATGGACCCTGACACTAAATGTAGCGATTAATATGAGAGATTCAGATTATGTAACATGTTTATTTTATTTATTTTTTTTTTTTACATTGTTTACTTGTTCTAGTTCATCATAAATCCGTTTCATTGACAAAATCGATCTTTACCATATCTTACACTATGATAAATCATTTTAGGAAAAAAAAAAAAAGTGTGTTATTTTCCTTATCGAGTTAATATTTGAGGCGGGAAACGGCTAAATCAAAACTGGATACATTTTTCAGCCAAGAACGAATTTCATTATCAAATTTTTTTTTTCTTTGGACAAGTTTTAATAAAGATATCATTATGACAAACAAATAAAGAAAATTAATTAAAATCGTGTTTGATATTTTGTCCGCCTGTAAAATTTTTATATTAGAAGAAGTGAAAAAAAAGTTTTTCATTTGCGCAATGGCATATGATATTGAAAGGTATCCGTTTTTCAAATTTCAATCTTGCGCCTCGTTACTTCATGTTACTAGCCACGATGGTTTCAATTGGTTCAGGGATTGCAATACAAGAATTGGAGGTCCCACAATTGGACGTGTATTACGTTGACCGGGGAAATGAGTAACGACCAATCTCCATAAACAAAAACACGAAAGGAATAACACACCGATGCACCAATGAATTCAATTAATAAATCTTTTCGAACGTGATTGTATCAATCACTATTGTCAAATTTCCTTTATTTTATTGTTTTTGTTAAAGCAAAGATTATTATTATTTTTCATTTTGTTTCAGGTTTTGTTTATTTGTGAAATTATTTTTGAGATTCATGACGTTTTTGAAAGTCATTGTTGTCAGTGTTATTTCTATAAATAAATCATTCGGAATACCAACTTCAAATGACTCATATCGAAAGATATTCGATCCTTATTAAGTACTTTCCGTATATTAAAACCTTACAATTCAGATAAATTTTTCAAATTCTTCAAATCTGGTTTATCGCGCTTATCTTGTAATGTCACAAGGTCTCATTTTGGCAATGAAAAGAAAAAGAAAAGGTTCAACTCAATTGGGGTAGAAGAGAAATTTTTAATGAGGTCATAATGTTTTTTTTAAAAGAACATCCTCTATTTTCATATCATATCGGATAATTTGTCATGAAAAGGAAAAAAGTAAAAAGGGGTTGGCTTATTTCTTTGGCAAACAAATGTTGTGATGAGCCGAAGGTGTGACGAATAAGTCACTATTTTAAATTGATAAATAGATGATCTAAAGTTTCATTCTTTTAAATTACCTAAATTACCTAAGCGATTCATCCACTGGTGTAATTGTATATACAATTACAATGTTATCAACATGATCAAACACGTGTATAAATCCTCCATTGGAACCTCAAATCGATCATCAAATGATTTCATATATGGTCGGTTGGCATTACTGCGAAACAAACACGTCAAATGCTGTCAACCTGTCATTTTGAGCCGTAGCAAAATGTCTTATCACGAATGACATTGGTCAGTCAGTCAATATCGCAAATAGTTTTCATCTGAGCAAAATTTCAGAAATAACATGTTATAAAGTATCATTATTCTCTTGGAAAGTCCCAATTACTGAATAATACTTTATATAATATATAAATGTAATTGCTTTACAAGCGATGGATTATTCGGTCCCGCCATTAACGGTAGTGGTGCTTTCAAAGTTTGGTCGGCTAATAAATTAACCGACTCGGATGATCATTGATTAATCGATTAATCGGATTATCCGAATTTTCCGATTCATGCAGTTTAAATGATATTAATTTTTTTTTTTTGTTTGGGCATATAAATTCTATACATATTTTAAATAAAGTCCCATCGGAAATAATATATAATCCTAATGGTTTATTATTTGGGATCGATTAGTCATCACATGAGTTCGATAGATTATGTATTAAATTTTTTTTTTTCTTTCTCGATGTGGTACTGTTATAAAGTTTATTAAATTTTTTAATAATATTATTTATATGAGTTTGTATAATTTTAAACGTTATTCAATAATTTTATATATTGTTGTATGCATTTACTTTTCTATCTTCTACACGTTAAGTAATTCTTGCCAGTAATATAATTATTATATTTCAATTCAAAATTCATATCAGATCCAAACTCGACCTGCATTATGATTTAATTCCGGCCTCTACATCAAATTTTTTATTTGTAATTAATTATACGATTGACTTAAAAACCCAACATGATGTAATTGCTACAGCATGTAACTCTCAGAGAACAACAGCACAAAAACATTTAAGAGGTTTTTTAATTTTAATTTAGGAGATCCCACCCGAGGATTAATCATTTCCGTAGCACAAATAATGCTCGTATTATTGGTTCAGGGCTGATGTTTTATTACATTGGTTTTGTAAATGACGGGTAATCATTACACAATGAACAAATGAACCGAAACCTTTGATCGGGAAATCTATTTAGCATAAGAAAAAAATCCTCCGCCTTACAGGTCAACAAACACATAAAATGCGATTAATCATCATTAGTCTTTAGGTAATGGTCGGCTTTTTTGATAATATTTCTCCATTTGTGCTTGAGAGAACTCAGTGTATTCAAAGTTTCACCTTTTAAACGAATTATGTGAATAGTTTATTAATTAACCTTGATACATTAAAGATTCTCTTTGATCTTTTAATCTTAGGTGTAAATATTAAGACGTACATGCATATTTTTTTCAAATAATTCCAAATAAGAATTCTTGAGATGTGAATCTCGGAATTTTTTTTAAGGATTACCCCATACCGTTGTTTATGACTCGGTTTTTCCTGCAAAACCTTTGCAATGAATGAACATCAGGTCATTCATACGCCATAAACCTTTCCTTTTTTTAAAAAAAAGTTAATAAAGAAAAATTAAAAAAAAAAAAAAAAAAAAGACCAAACAAGCTATATGGTCATCCTAATAAAGTAATTGTAAAACTTGCGGCAGAACTTTTGCATGTTCAATACTTTTAAATCATTCATGGGTTATTTAAAGTTCATTGAGAGAGAATTAATTCAACAATAAGCCAAATAACTCGATTAGTAATGGAAGAATTTTCCTATGAAAAATACGACATTAGGGGGTGAGAAAAGATGGCTTGTTCTCGCGTGATGTCAGTGATAAAGTTTAGGTGCGATTATTATTAGCAAAAGATGAAGGAAAGCGAATGCAGGGGGATACATTAATCGTGATTATTGTAAATTCCTACTTTGTAATTAATAATTCCCCAATTTCCTGGTTTAAATGATCAACTAGAAAACAAGGTAAATATGTATAAATTAGAGAGAGCACACTATTATTTCGAAAAAGGAACTTCATTGTTGATAATCAAATGTAACATTACAAAAAGGGAATAAACAAACGATCTTTAACGTTTAATAACTAAAAGGAAAAGAAAAAAAAAGAAAGAAAGAAAGAAAGAAATTATGCTTATTGGGTATCAAAAAAAAAAAAAAGATTCCTTTAAAAGCATTTATTGTTAAATGGATTTCTTTATTAAGAGGATAATAATGAATTCAAACAATGTAATTGTAAAGTTTATCATCAAATTTCCCATAATGCATGCATAAATTACTGTGCTTCATTTCCATTGTTTAAACGAAATTACATGCAGTTTTGATGTTCTACAAAACCGTCGTACTCAAAACACCATCATTCATTTCTTTCTACTTTGAATCATTCTTATTATTCATACCTTTTTTTTTTCCTTTCTAAACTAAGTTTCATAGTCAAAGCAGGTAAAACGTTACAACTGGTGAAAATTCGGATAACTCCATTGAGCATGAATGATGATAGGATGTTAAGATGTCCCGGATTTTACGACGATGTGGCAAATTGGATACATGTAAGTAAATAAATTTGCATACATTTCAATGAGCGAATAGGATGAAATTTGGAAACAACCTTACATTTTCCGAGGAAACCAATTAAAAGAACGAATCGTTTGTTTTCTTTGTCTTGTATAAAGACTGATGAATCCTATTATTTAGTTTTCATGTATCATGCAAGATCCAAACATCTTTTTATACAACAAATAAAGGACTATTATGCATTATTTCGCTGAGTTAAAGAAGTTAATAGGGCATACGAACAGCAATCTCTTTGTTTGTTAGAGAACGTATATATTCCGACAGATTTATTTTAGAATATCTGCGCGAGCCATACGTAAGAAAAGCGTCGGATCGATCGGAAATATCCCGGAAATTTGCAACAACTCGAAGCTTTGCAGATTTTGGTTTTTCAGATATTTCTCGGATGATCGGACGTTTCTTTTCTCATAGGGTGAACAACTCATTCATGCGTGTTAATCAAACGGTCACAAACATGTGTCAGTAATCATACCTTCAAATCACTTTAAAATGAGTCAAAAATAATTCATAACAATTCTCATTCTAGAACCAAGTCATTTCCTGCATATGGAATCTTTGCAATAGAAAGACCGAGAAAAATAAAAAATGAGTTAATGCTAAATCGACCATACCTCGACCTGAAAATCATATTTTGCATTTTTAAAAAGTAAAATTGATTTGTTTTTATTGCAAAGGTCCCATATAATAAAGCATCGTTTTGTAATATTACTAATTATCCAATAAAGGAATATATTGGCAATAACATCTTTTTATGGTTTGGTTGGGACGCGTCAAATGAAGTTTCATAGTAAATAACAAATCACGAAAAGTATTCTTGTGATATCTTTATGTTAAACCAATATCCAATTTTAAAGGATTTATTAAAACGAGATGTACAGTATAACCCGGCGAACTTTTACGTTTTGGAATTCAACCTTTTTTATAAAGATTTTGACGATAGACGTGTTTATCTACATTTTAAGTTTAAAGATCAAATGATCCAAACACCTTTATATCAATTATTTTTGTTGCATTAGCATGGAATTTTGCAACTTTTATGAATCCAAGCTTGCCGAAGGATTCGGACTTTTTTTAAGTTTTCCTTTTTTTATCAACTTCATATAATATTATTTTTTATTTATCTCTTATTTTTGAGCTTAAATCCTCCCATTTTTTTCATAAATCTTTAAAGTTCGACAACTGATACTTTTTATATTTTTAAGTAATGTTATAATAAAAGTACATGCTTGACTTTTTACATAGAAACAAAAAAAAAGATGTTTTTCCTTTTCTCATGTAAATGTCAAGTGTCACAAATTTCTTTACAAGGTAAAAATTTAATAGAAGTAAGAAGTATATCATTAACTACTGATATGTGAAATGGGCAAGGATATATTGGTGTAACTTGTTCTTATATTGATTCAAAATTATCTTAATGAATTACTTTATCTATTAATTATGTTTGATACCCTCATCATGATGTCAACATATTGCTATAGGTTTAGAAGAAATACTTGTAAAATGGAGTATACTTGAAAAAGTTTTTTTATTATTACTACTAATAATAGATCAAATATGAAAAAGGTAATTTTAAATATAAATGCAATTAAATAGCAAAGATATAATACATATATTCTTCAACTTATAATTGAAAAAGGTTTAGTTCCTGTAAAAGTATTAATTATATAAATAAAATAATTAAATGAATTTTTTACATGTTTAACAATCAAAACATTTAGAAGATGTTTAAAAAAATATTCAAATACAAATATATTAGATAGTTTAGAAATTAAAATAGAAGAAATAAATATTATAAGATTTATTTTAAAATTTTTTTTAAAAATTTTAATTTATAAGTTGAATTAAAATTTAATTATATATTTATAAATATTATATATATTTTTTTAAATAATATTTTACTTTTATTTATAACTTTTAATTTATATATTAATTATTAAATACTAAATATAATTAATTAGTCCTGAGTGTTAGCGAAGAACTATATATATTTTATATGCTTTAATATTTTGATATCTACTTACTTATCTTATGAGTAGATATTTATTAGTACATATTGTTTCACTACCAATCTATTACAAATTACTTTATCACATGAATTTAAAATGTACTGTATTTTTAACACTTTAGACTTATAAACAGTTCTTATTACCTAGTATATTAAACTTGTTTAACATAATTAACATGTTTAAATATATTAACATTTTTAACATATTTAATATATTAAATATAATAGATTTAATGAACATGTATAATAAAATATATATAATATATCTTACTTATATCTTTTTATATAATAAGTTTTATATAAATAAGATAAGAAAATCATATTAGAAAATTTAGTAGACTCAATCTTAATTTTATCTAAAAAGCATAATCAATAATAATTATAATAAAAATTATAAAGAAGGTAACAATTATGAAAAAATCATAATATTAATGATAAAGATATAATATGATAATAATAAAGAAAATTATAGTGATGACAAAAAATATAATAATAATAATAAAGATAATGATTATATTAAAGATAGTAATGATGATAATAAGAATAATAATTATAATGCCTAATAAAAATTTAATATAAAATTTCATAAAAAATTAAGTTTTATAACATAATAAACTATTAATAGTTAATAATATTAGAAAAATAATATTTAAAAAAATAAATATACTTGATAAAAAGAAAAGAAAAAACAGAAAAAAGAGAACATAAAAAATATAAAAATATAAAAATAAATAAAAATTTATATAAAGAATTAATTTTAAATAATTAAGTATAATATAAATAGATCACATAATTTGTTAATTTATAAGATTGTATAAATAAGTCAAAAGTATAAAACAAATATTACAATAAACGAGTGGGAGAGGGAAAATAAATATTTTTTTTGCATATTTTTTATGAAATTCAAAAACAACTTTACTTTTAATAAAAATTTTTAATTTTTATTAATTATATTATTAAATATACAATTAAAAAAGAATAAAATTTTACATAAAAAATATAAATGTAATTTTTGATTATTATATAAATTACTATTTTATATAATTATAAAAATACAATAAAAATCTAAAAAAATTTTTAAAACTTATTCAAAAAAATTAATTAGATGGCACAAACTGGTAAAAATAATTTTATATCAGAAATTAACTTAACATTATTTAGCAACCTGGGTTTTTATTTTTAAATCCAAAATAATTTTTAGCCAATAAAATTTGATATCTAATATTTAAAATTTAACAATCTGATAAACCACTCAAAATTTTATATATTAAAACTTTTTATACTGCGCATCTATATAATAGAATTTAAATATAATCATTTTCTTATACATTGTTTTAGTATCTGATAAATCATACTAAATAGTTTATTTATTTTAATAAAAATGTAATAATAGTATTAATTAAAATATAATTGAAGCAGGTATACTATTGTTAATTATTGCAATTTCACTAACTTTTTAAATATAAATTAATCACATTTAGTTGATAAAATAAAGCTGCAAAATTGATTTATAAAGCAATACTTAATTTTGATATATTATTTGATTTCCTTTTATGACTGCATTTTTAATAAAAATTAATTTGTATGAATTAATAAAAAAATAATAAAACACGTTAAAACAATATAAAATTTTCTTTATAACCCTTTTTTCAAACTTTAGCAATATGCTGTTTACAAATATCCGCATCTTTAAAGGATTACAAATTCTTCATGAATAGTAATTCATCCTATTCCTTATAATATGATATTAAAAGATTTTTTTGTAAAGCTTATAAGCAAAGAAATATCTTCTGAAAGTAATATTGCTATAACAACTTTTAAAATAGTAGAATATGCTGAGTTAAGTAAAACACTAGTATTAGCTGCAACTTAAGTTAGTTTTAATTATAGTATTATGAAACTCATAGTGAGTATAGAAATGCATATTTATTATCAGCCTAAAAATAACACCAATATAATCTTTGATCTGATATCACAACAAAATATCTTCACAATTCTGATGCAAAATGCATATTGAACTCAGTTATACTTGCTAATCTTCTCACAATAAAAAAATTAAATCATAAATAAATATTATGCAGTGATCTTATTAATTAGATTTACTGTAATAATAGAGAATGATATAGTTAACCTTTTGCCAATATGTAAGGAAAACAATTTATTATTAATTTAGTTGAAATTATTTGGTATATCGATATGTATAATCATAAAAATTCAAAGAATGTAATTATCACATATCTGAGCTTTTTTATCAGTTTTTTAGACATGCAGATTCAGAGTCATATAAGTAATCATAAAAATTCTTTGATGCAAATGATCTCAATTTGCATTACCAAGTTTTTGCTTCATTTGCTATATTATCATGGATGTTAACAAAGAATTTTGACTGATTTCGTGATGCATTAGACAGGTTTATTGTTGTAATTTCAAATTATATTAGATTTTTGCAATACTAGCTTATTGTTACTACTATAAATCTTACATCAAAGACTCCTATATATATTGTTAATTAGGCTATAACTGTTAAAATACATAAGAAGAATGTTTAAGTGATATCTATTAATAAAATTAAATATAATCAACTCAGTAGCTCTCTCATTAATTTAACAATATAGGAACCAATTGATATTGAAGAATACCTACCAAATAATCCTGGATAAGTAAATAAATATTGTTAGAGATTACTAATATATATACTAATTAAATAATTAATGCATATATAGACAATGAAGACATTATATTTAAGATTTATCTTGTGCATTTTCCTTTAAATCAGAGAATACTGATTTAACTCTTAAAATAATTCTTATAATGTAATATCAATATAGAAAATTGACAAACAAGCTGATAAGATGATTACATTATAAAAAAATAATCAAATTATAAGTAAATTGCAAGCTAATATACCTTGCTATCACACAAGGACAATGCAAGTAAATTATCTACATACTTGTGATTTACTTCTTCTAAAGGTTAAGTTATCAATACTTTGAATACTATATTAAATACTAACAGGTGATACTTTTGTAGTTAATATTACAAATGAAGCAAAATTTAATGAATATGTTAAGCTTACTTTAAAACTTGAAGATCCAAAAATTGCTTTTGATTTATGTAAACATAGAAGTGGAATGCTCAGCAAATATGATAGCTTTTAGAAAACTTTAGTTCAATTTCTTGCAGAAAAAG